GCTGGACAATTCAGGACACAGCTTTCTGTGGCCGGAAAACTTTGAATGGGAGACGGCAGTCTTGACCTGATTTACCATTCGATGATTGCGATTTTTCTGCCTCGTCGTGAAGCTTTCGTTCGAGAAGATGGCATGAAATGTTAAGGTTTATGGCGTCTCATTGTGCTGTTGATGCGCCATGAATGAATAAGCTCTAATCATCTCTCGTGAAGTAGCCCCCACTGTCTTTTGATTGTCTGGTATCATACTATAATGGATCTTTCTTGAGTTGATTGAACGAACGTTTGATGAATAGAGCTAGAGATTAATGGAACTGTCTCGATTCCACTGTCAGCTTAGAAGAGGCCCATCAAGGACAGGAAGGCAACACAAGTGGATCGAGACCGGAGCATGAGTCACTTCCAGGGCTTCTTCAGGGACTTATTGGTCTAAATTTTCCTTACCAAAACCAATCTGCCTCATTACACGACCAGACTCCAAATGGTTATCTCGCGTATCAGAAATGTACCAATTGTATGTATCTATCTGCCTTTGCTTTTTCACTCGAGTACCTATAGTGAGTGACGCCCCCAGAAAAATACCTAAGCTGACTTCCTTCAACCTCTATAATTAACCTTCTACGTGGCTCCTCCTCGGGCAAGGGAGAGGATACAGGAGGTGATACCAGTGAATAAGCCAAGCTATAAGATTCAGAGAAATTTTGAATACACAGAAGGCCAACTTCCATTCCTGGTAGTCGACATAATGAACTGCGGGCTATTCATTTATACTGTGAGCAAGTCGCATGTGGTGGTAGTCACACGACAAGCATCATGTGGCATCAGTCTCAGTCAGTATGTTGCTGCATTTATGACCTTACGTTATCCCTCATAAGGAAAGTCAAGTTTGGCAGAAACTGCCTGGAAGTCAAAGGAATAAGTCTTGCTGAACAATTAAATTGACTTACACAACATCTTGTTAGTGGAACATACCACCAAAGTCTGACAAGTATAGATGCAGCCAGCCACAACAGTCATGAATGGGGATCAATCGTTGTGGAACATGTAAAATTTCTTCTAGTCTTTCTCTGTCTAGTCTAATGTCCATATAAACGCGCCATGTATGTTCAAGAAATAAATCTCCAGTATGAGGAAGTCCGATGTGTGCGCCTGATCTAAATGCGAATAAGGTGCGCACATGTTTGTACAGCCTGGAAGCCGACGAAGCCATGTGCTTGCCCGTACGACGTCGGTGTCACCACAACTCAATAATTCCAATGCAGAACACCAAAAGCGCCATTAGATCAAATAAATAAAAAAGGGGGGTTCATTGATACCCTGAAACAGAGACTATCCACCATTGAACGCCACAGTAGCAAACACGGACTGGGTAAACAAACAACCATATCTTATGAAAAGCGCAGAACATGCAGTGATAACTGAGTAAATGCAGAGAGCCGCCGACCAGTGTATGCTTTTGGGTAGGTACCCGAATATTGACTCGAAAAATCTGCACTCCCTTGAGACAGAGCAGATGGCTCCAGGCCAGGAAGTGCATAGTGCGTGTGCGTTGTGTGCCAGTGTGCGTAATGCGGTCCAGCCGATATTGCGTAGTTAATCATGTATCGACATTAAAAAGTAGGTAAATGTGGGTATAACGAATTGGTGACACAAAGGGATACATGATGTTGTTCCGCCGTGGGCTGATTAGTCCATAGACATGTCGTCGTCGTCGTCGACATATGCCATGCGAGCCCATATCCTCCAGTGGACAACGCCCACATGAGCGATACGAGTCGCAATATCTTCGATGCCACCCTCTTGCTGACCCATACGGATGGCTGCATCCAGGTCTCGGTCCCGTCCTGCATCCAGGCTGCGGCTGCTTGTTGGTACACGATTACCAGTGGCAATCGAGAACAAGCATACACCTGAGAGGGCCTTGAAGTAGCGCACGCGCATGGCGAGTTCGGTTAGCAGGCGAATGCGGTACGCCTCCTCCATCTCCTTGTAGATAGGGGAGGAGATGCGGCAAACGTTCTCCAGAAGCTTCTCTTCGAATGGGACAAGCATGTCCATGGGGGCATTGGTGAATCGGAAGATCTGTAGAGCCATAGAGGGAGCCATTGAACGCCACTTCTCGTGATAATGTTGGTCGTGTGGTGCCTGCTGAAGCAGAGCAACCAGGCTGTCGCGAAGATTTCGGGCTCTTGTTTTGGCCTCGTTGGTTTCCGAGTTGAGATACAGGGGAAGGACCATGGACGAGCGTGGTGATGACGAAGCCGAATCTGCAGAGCTCAGTGTAACACTGGAAGGTCTTGAGCTTGAAGGAGGAGTGTTGAAGTTGAACTCGTGGTCATCTGACAGGGCGCTCGCAAAAGCAGGAGGCGAGTTGAGTTTCGCAATTCGCTCAAGATCCTCATACATGCGCATGCAGACGTCCAGGTTGATGGCGTCCAGAATATCCGATCGAACACGTCCAAGTCGGTCCTCGTCAAAGAAGAAAGTGCCAGGCAGAGGCTTCTCGCCAGCGGAAGGGAGCATGGACCGCGAGAGTCCCTCAAAGAAAACCCCCGTATCTCCAAAGTAAGAATACATCTTTCCGGCACCGCCAGGGTAAGTTCGAGAAGCCTCTTGATACCATGGTTTAGCATCGCCTATATCCATTTTGCGATTTCGCAGCTTCTTCATCAGAAACCTTTGTTCGAAAGCGGTTGTCTCTTCAATGAGAGCAGGTCGAAGACAGCGTATTTGATGATTTGCAACGTCAAGTTTCATTGCCTCCAAGACACTGAGCAAGCTTCGCATGCCGTTAACAAGCTCCTCAACATCGTTGTTGCTGTTACCGTTGCTGAGCTGCTTGTACATCGAATCAACCCATTCGTCCCGCATTGGTGCGCAGTGAGATTTGAGGACTCGTGAAAGCCACGAAGCAAGCTTCTCCAAGTCAGCAATGCCTCGGTGAAACTGTTGCATAAGAAGTTCCACGTTAAGACCCTCATCAAGAAACTGTCGGTCGCGCTGGGGTACAAGAGTCTGAATGATCTCCTTCACAGATTTGAGAAGCTTTGGCAAGCACCAGTCGTCTCCTGTGCCGTGCTTGGCGTAAAAACTGTCTCGGTCCACGATGAACTCGACCAATTCCTCTTTGAGTGTCGTCCAGAAAATGCTAGCACGATCGTGCTTTCTTCGACCCTTGTCTCCCTCCACGTTAGGTCTGAAATGAAGCTCAGGATCAAAGTTGATATCGTGCCTCAATTTGGGGTTGTTAATAATCTTAGAAACCTCAAGCTCTCCCAGGCTTGATTTCGTTACAGGAGGTTCCAGAGGCTGTGATGGGGCAGGAGACCTCCGACTTTCAGGTCCTGGACTGCATGTCGTTGATGTCGTTGACATTTCGGAAGGATTTCGTGATAGTGGTGCAGCTACTGGTGCTGGTGTATCAGAAGGGCTGTCGTATCGGCGAGGCAAGACTTGTGAGGTTGTTATGACATCGTCCTTCTCGTCTGTGGATGGTTTTCTGGCTGTCTCCTTTTCAGGCCTTGCCTCTCCTTCGCCATTAGGCCCAGGGCCCGAGGTAGACAAACTCCGCCTCGATCGCTCGACCGGGCCTCCAAACCCTTGATCCGCCGTCATGTTGTTTATGATAATTTACTGATTTGATCCACCGAGTGTCTTTGTGAATTGAGTCGAATGTCTGTCAATAAATTATAATTTTCGAATTCAACTGTCGCGGTACGTGTTAGCCACAGCAAGACCTCCAACAAAGACAGGACGTGAGCTTGAGGATGAAACCAAGCAGTCACGAGTATACGACCAGTTGCGGATGCACTCGGCTAAGAACTATTCATCGGCCAGATGTTGTACCTTGAGTGACAAGCAATAGGCGGAACAGTGGTCGAGGGAGTCGCAGACTGGTAGTGTTGAGATTATGCGGTCGACTTACAAGGATCCAGTGAACTTGCAGCGAACAGCGTCGGTATGTGTGAACCCAATTACGGCTGTGTGACAGTACAGATGATATCCCTTCCTCCTTCGTTGCGGATGTTCTCTCGGTGTGTCGCCTCGCAGTTCGTTTCGGTGATATGCAACGCTGTCCTGGTTTGTCTGTATTCTCTTCTTTTCGCGGATAGTTGCTTTTCGACTAAGTGAATGTGTCTAGTGGCAAGAGTAGTAGGCAACAATCTATATTGCGGAGCAAAACAAAGTATGGGGAATATTCAAATACGTCTTGATGTACATACAAGACACAGATGTTTGAAAAAACAGAAATAGGAAAAGAAACATCAAGAACGGGAAGAAAGAGAAAAGGGGACGATAGTGACGGGAGACGGGGATATTTGATATATGGGTTACATCCTGGTTTGGGGTGCGAGCAGGGGAGCCACTTAGACGGAGCTGGCTAGACTGAGCTGGACTACGAGACACAGAAGTATCCATCAAAACCATGATCCAAGTCAAAAGTAATACTATGCCACAGTCTTCCTTAGGCTAGAATTTTTTTTAAGGGAGGCCAAGCGTGGATTCATCTTAATCGCGTGGCATGGCTTAACTTTGGAGGGAGCGGTGGGCCTGGACGCAGAGGCAAAATCAGGTAACTAACGACCAAAGTATCTTCGGGTAGTCAGAACGACCCCTACAGGGTGTAGGGAGTAACCTAACAGCATCCGCGTGGAGGTCCCTGTGAATAGGAGGGGCGTGTGGCTTCAATGAGATCCACAGACACCTGGCCCTGGCAAGCGGTACAGTAAAGTGGTAATCATCGAGGGAGTTGCACTGGATGCAACTAAAACAGCGAATGGTTTGGGGCTGTCGCCCCTGGAATCCAGTAGAAACACAGTGGCTTCTGTAGATGCCCTCTCGCCCAAATGGCGGCATTAATACTCAGCTGAAGCGGTCGATGCTTAGACGAGCTAGTGAGTCAAACTGTCGGTAGCCACCATTCAAAGTACCGCCACTGACACGGAATATGAGTCTGAGTCGATAACTGTCGACACCAAGCTGATAAATTCAGATTGATTCCTGGTACCCAGCTAAGGGCATGCCGGCGAAGCCTGTAAGTGTGGGAGTTTAAGTGCAATTTTAACGCTGCAGCGACAACGTGACCCTCCAATATTCGGGTCTGAGCCATGTTGCTGCTATAGTCTCGGTTTATCGTCTCTGTTAGATGAGTAGGGAATCAAAGGTCAGACGCTACTTGACTCAGTCTAAGGGGGGTATCACGGGGGCTCACCATGTCTTTTTTCTTTGTTTGACGAGTTTTCATTTTCTGCAAGTGACAGATGCGGTAGGAGAAGACTGCTCTGTTATGTACAGTGTGTACAATGCTTGTCGCTCCCAATGCAAGATACGAAAGTCTTTGCCAATATGGTCCATCGCCATGACGAGAAGCGCTGCAAATCCACGATAATCACTGTATCGCAGCGTAGCGACGTATGATGGCCCCACAGACTCATCCAACAGGTGAAGATACGCTTTTGGGCACAGTGCGTGATCCTTCCATCAGATGGAGCAAGTGGATTCGCCATGGATGTCATTCATGGGATCCGCGGGAGGAGATGGAGATGAAGATGGAGATAGCATGCGATGGGATGGGATGGATGACCGATAGTGGAAGTTTGGCTGACGAGTTGTGTGGCAGGTTAGGAGGGATAACGGCTCCTTCCACTTGCAGGGCAACATGTAAGTTTGGAAGGTAAGGTACCTACACCCCAAGCCTCAGACAGGAGGCACCTTTGATATGCGGATACTTTCCGCCTTTCATACCACTTGATAAGGGCGAATTACGTTCTAAACATCACCATCGACTTACAATGAAAGACCATGCGTGTAATAACAACGGCTCAGGGAAACCCAACATCAATAAAAATAAACAAAGCAGGGTCAGACTTCCACTTGCCGAAGACGGATCAAGTCCCAGGAACATTCGACCCAAACAGGCCAGGGATAGCCAAACTTGGCCCGCCGATTCGCCCATCGATTCCAGGGGATAATGGTCATTCGGGACCAATGAATTGCCCTGCCTACAGTAGCACTCAACATGCCACACTGCTCATGTCTGGAACAACTCCAAAAAGGGATGGCACAAAGACTCACGGGCTCCACGCCAGGGACCATCCGTCATCGTCATCGCACTAGCACTCTCTGGGGCGGGCCACATAAAGATCCATCCACCGCCGCCGCTGATCTAGAAACGGACCAGAAGCGTGCATATTACAGCGGAGTTGGAGTCGCGCACGACTAATGAGCCGCCCCAGCTTCGGCCACTACGAATCAATCTGCAACTCTTGCTGGCCCAGATGGCCCATTGACTGCGATGTGAGCCAACAAAGCCAATCCGAATGCTGACTGATGAGAGTGTAAAATCATGGTTCTTGTGGCAGTGTTTAAATTTGTGACGACAATCCATCTGAACCTCGGCCAGAAAGAATCTTTTCACGCAGACGGTATGCGCTTATGCCGCCAACCGCCACCACCACAAATGCTGTGTCTTCTGGGTCTTTGTCAGGATCATTCTGGTTTCATTGCATGATTGCGCCTCGCCACGGGCAGGACGACGTCGCTGCAGTAGTATTACGAGAAGAGTGAAGCATAGCATATGTCCTGTTCTATCATGATGACGGGCATAAGAGGGCCCGGGTGGTGAGTTGGGTCGACACCGACCGCCGTGCAATTGCAACGTAGTTAGGTAGTCTCACATAAAAGATGAAAATGCAAAGTTCGCCGAGGCGTTCACTGAGGTTGTAGGGTCGCAGCCTTCCTCGGTGCGAAAAGTGGCCAACTTCATGGCGAAGGCATTTCACCAATCTCGGTCTCGCCAATTGGCCAGTATTATCTCTAGTGCATCCCAGCCCGGTGGTACTGGGATGCCCTTCTGGCCATCTAATCTATCCCTTCGATGTACAGACATGTTCCATGTGCGAACCATCGTAATATGAACGGTGCACAGCAGCCTCGGCAGCACTGAATAATCCGCTTCATTGATTGACCTGGATTGGTGGATGTTTACAATCATATTGTTGGGACCTTGGGTGATAGCGAACCGAATGGTAAACAACATCCAGGGCGAACAGGTCGTCAGGGTTAACCCACGCTTCGATCATCTAGTCAAGTCCCAGCGCCTATCAAGCTCTCCACGCGTACAGCCCTGGAAGTGCAGGAGCGTCGGATGGTTGTGGTGTCGTTGTGGTGTGTTTGGTAGGAGAATCTTGAGGACGGGCCCTCGTCGAGTCCTGGTCTGACAAGGATGACCACGAAGCGTGCATCAGCTCAGACGTGAACATCGGTTCATTTCTCATCAAAATTGTGAGCAAGCCCTGTTTATTGTCCAACGCCATAGTCTTCCAAAAACTGAGGCCCAGAGTCTTGGGCTTGGGCTCATGTTTGCCCACACTGCCAGGGTATTCGAATTTCTCAATGAGTCAGGATTGACAACAAGCAGAAAAGGCTCCATCATTTTCAACAAGAACACAGCCAAAACACCATCGGTGTGGAACCACATCACCATCCGCCAGGACACGAAGTGGCCAACGCATCAATGCACCTAAATTTGAAGTACAGCCCAAAACTTGGCTGCAATGCTGCTCTGCCCAAGATTACTGCAAAGCCATGAAAATGGATGGGATTCTTTCACCGCCGTAGCGATAGTCGCAGTCACATTCAGACTCTGGTGTAACAATTCGTGGCTGACTTGGTCGCAACTTTCATTTTCCGCATACCACATATTACCTACCGAACGGCGAGTTCAATGAGGTTTTCCGAATCAGCCGACTTCAAGAGTTCGACGCATGCATCACCAAATGCACCTCCAATGTAACAGCGATGTTCTATTCATTTCCACATCGCTAATCTCAAATCTAAATCATGGCATTCGACGCCAAACTTGAATCGGAGATGCCGTCTCTTATTGGAATGCTCTTCGTGTGCGCAACTCTATTTATTCCGTGGAGGAGGTACAGTGTTCAAATTTCTGACTAAGGCTCATCAGCCGCTTCGCCTCAATCCCTTGTTCAGCTCATTTTGTCCATGCGGCGTCATTCTGGTGTACCATTCCGTCCGCCCAGCTCAGGTCGGAAACCACCATATCGGACAAGGCGAGGGTGCAACCAGCGTACCCCAGAAACATTACATCAGAAACTCAGAATACTCTCGAGAGCATGGAAGCTTTACTCTCGCCTGGGTATTAGTGAAACACAATTTATTTGATCTACCCTATTCAATGGAAGTGGAAGCGATTGAGTCGGCTTTCCAAGTATTCGGGGTTGATGGCCACGGGGGAGAGAAAAATGACCATACACCACTAATATCCTTAAAAGGTTGTTTATTCCTTTCCTCATTGTTACGGGTCTAGCGAAACCCAAAATTGTTGGCCACCTACGTACTGAGACGAGACCTGGCGAAGCGGGATAGGCAATAGTGCCATGCAAGGCAAAGGAACTCTCCGTCTAAATCTCAAGCCAGCGACTCATTGATTCTGGGCTGGTGTGTTCGTACTCTCAAACCGGCAGGTATGTTGGCTACGTTGGTTCCCTAGCCCACGATACTCAACAGAGGCAGTGAGGGATGCAGGGCGATGAGACCAAGAAAGATGATGGGTTTAACTCAGGGACATGTTGCCACCTTGTCCCAGCACCTGTCCCTGCTTGAAGAAAAGAAGAATCCCTCCCTCCCGGTGGATGCCTTATCACCGTCTCGAATCATCTAACTTCGCCTTGCATACGCAGTGTCTGCGTCCATCTAAATGGTGAATTATATACACCAACCACATCAAGCATCCTTTCCGTCAACTCTCTCCTAAACCTCGTCAGCTCGTTTCGTATATGGGTGCCATGTCCCCCTTTTCCTGTAGTTGGGGGTCTCCTAGGCCTATACTTGAAGGCGCTTAGCTTTCAAGACTGGAGTTTCATTGCGAAGGCAATGTGCTGGTTTCACCTCACAACCGAATTACAGCTCATTTTACGAATTGAGTAGGTGGTGTTGCAGCGAGTCAGACTGGGGGGACCACCTCAAGCTTCAGGCCGAGTTCGGGGCTAGAAGCTCGGGGCCGGAGCAGATCCACGGCACGGCGATAGTGGTGGTATTATTAACCCTAGGGCCAAGCCTTGTGGGCAAGGAGCGGCGGAAGGCCGCATTTCAGCATGGCATGGTTTGGTATTGGCGGTTTTGATACTCGGTCGGTCAGCACACCACTTATTGATTCCCTTTGTTATGCGGGATGTCTAGGTCGTGTATGGATGTGTACGACCGTGCTCGGTGTGCGATCGTATTCATGCAAGAGTTACGCCTCTGTCGCACGCATATGACGGCGTCAGGCGTTGCTAATGACTGACTACAGGCAGTACTGTCTTGATGGTGATCAACCTTGCAACTTGCAAGTGTGTGCCATGGCGGCGTAGGATGGCAGGATGGTAACCTCTCATTACCTGTGTCTTAGGACTGCGCATCTGGCTTGGATCATTGTTGTTATTTCAACATACCATGCCAGTCCAATGAGCCATGATCTGATTGATCTTCACTCTAAGAACAACAATTTCAATTTGTCTGGAGGAATCCCAATAAATTGGTCCTTTGCCTAACATTACAGTACATCAATCTGACACTGAAAAGCCTTATCCTTATCCAACCCCGGATTCACGCAATATTACCTTTCTTTTCTTTTTCTACGCCAATCACATATATGCTTGCTTTTGCTTGAATGGTCCAGAGCGATGATCGACCAGCAACACTGGGCCAGATATGAAAATAGCGGCTCAGTGGTATGCACGTTGGAGCTCTCGTCACTGCCGATGTGACATCCTTAACCAATATGCAGATGGAATGAACAGCGTGTGGCTTCTGTTCGTTTTTCTTTTGTACCGTTACGCTGGTATACATGGGCTTGATTTCTTTTTGTCGTTATTTTTGTGTAACTGTGTAAGACCACCTAAGCTCCTAGTACGAGCCACCACAACCCATCAGAACACAAAGACAGGCAAGCAGATTGGCCTGCTTTCTTTGAGACCAGTACCGTGCGTGTCCTCCAAAATGGCCAGATTGCCATGTCTATGGTCATAGCGTTTGTGATATCTGAGATTTAAGCCGTCGGTAATCCGGCGCATAATCCGACAGTACAGGTTATGTGGCATCAAAGGTACCTGTAGTGACGAGCCTGTCGAGTTGCAACCCTTTCCAGATATCATCACATTTCGTGTCACTTTTGTGATACTTCCTGCAATACTTTCCTAAGGAGAATCTGACCATACACATCAGGTACTTGAATCAAAGTTTCCTCCCGTGTTTCAAAGATTAGCTGTTTGTGTGAAAGGCCTTGGATGCCGTGGGTGTAACGCAAGCAGATACCGGGACGGGATTACTCAAAGACTCTATCAGGGTATATTTTGCGAAAGAGAAACGGGGAAATTATTTCATGATCGTGGTATGAGGTTTTGTACACTTGGTAAACGGCGCCAGCACTCCCACTTGGCTGTTACTTCTCTTCCGATCCAACTCCTGACCAGTCGTGATATCTCTGAAAACAATAAACGTGGCATTAATGGTAATAGGCTTAGTTGAGGAGGATGGAAACCTGAATATGGTCAGCTCTGTCTATATTATCTGGACCAGTATAACGTACGGCCATGAGAACACAGCATATACTTATGTATGGGCTCAGTCTTTCGCCTATCCTCGCGCATTTCCAGAAGATGCCCATGAATCTAGTACTGTCAGCCTCGTTCCACGACAACGGCGTCAGTCGCATTTCGTACCCGTTCTTATTTCGATCCATGATGCCAGGTGTAAAGTGGTGAACGTATGCGCTCGTGCATATGAGCAGGAGGAGGACGAGTAGCAGAGATTGGAAGTTGAAGAGGGCGGACTAGAGTGACTGTTAGTGCGTTGATTCACCGTTGAAGAGCACAGCGCATACCATTTTGACACCTCGATAAACTATTCCTATGATGAAGAGGTATTAAGATCGTATATCTCGCTCGTGGGCTTCGAAGTTAAGCTCAACGTAGCCTTCTCACATGCGACAAGCGGTGCTTAGGTAGGGGTAAAGATTCGCCGGAGCCGCGACGTGTTTCCAGTTGAACCTCAACCTAGGGGGTGACGTACCTGGAAATAACCCCCACAGAGCTCCGGACCCCACTAAGCACACCCCAGATTGAGCCTCCAGCTGTCGCAAGGCTGCGCTGAGCTGAGCACATGAATCTTTCTGGTATTTTCAACTACATGTCTATCGCGAGGCTGCGTAACCTCGATTTTCAGGAGCCATCTTATTCAAACTTTTATCTCTCGAACCAGACACCTATTCTTTTTTGTTCATTGCATGCGTCAAGCGCGTAGGCGCAAGTAACTACATTCATCATGGAGCCTCGAGCGCGTGCCGGCAAGAATGTCGGCAAGATGAACTTCAGCCATGCAGAGCGTACGTCTTCTCCCATTCACTCTCAAGTTCTTCGTTTGCTGACTCTATACCAGTGGCACAGCTACTCTACGCACACGGCGATGTTCAAAACCCACTCCCAGAAACCGTGCGGGTACTCGACGAAATCCTCACCGATTTCATGCAATCCATCGCCTTTGAGGCGACACGAGCAGCTAATTACTCAGGCCGCCAAAAGATCAAATACGAAGACTTTGAGTTCGCGTTCCGTAAGAACCCCGCGTTCCTGGGCAAAGTCCAAGAGGTATTCGAAAAGCAAAAAGAGATCAAGAAGGCCCGTGAGATTCTGCGCGATGGCGAGGATGAGATCATGAAGGATGCTGCGGATGAAGAGAAGAAGCGAGAAAAATCCGACACAAGGACGGGAGGAGCAGTAGGAGCTGCGACGTCAAGGGTCGAGGAGGAGTTGGGCGAAGCTGACGATGATGCTGAAGCGGAGCTCGATGCGTTGGGTAAGAAGCGTTAAAAGAAGCTGAGCAGAGCCGGACTCTTGCGATTGGCGTTCTACTACTTGATTCCATTTCGGGCGTTCTACAGAAATATTGGTGTGGGCTGGGAAGGCGTTTAGAGCATACTATGGTGAATTGGGTTGGAGTTACAGACAGGGACTAAGCAAAGACACATCCTAGTAAATCAAAGGATCCTCATGCTGTTGGATGGATTGCATTATCGTATTGGAAACCGCATAGCATCGCCATGTCTCAGAGTCTGTAGGCCCTGAACATTGAAGTCTTGATCATCGAATTTGCATACAAGCCTCAGACAAGTAACTGCCAATCCAAGTCGAAGGCTTCATCCATTATGATGTTGCCTTAATTGACACACATACAAACCGAATGACTAGACCTGAAGTAAACCAACGGGAACTGTAGATCTATTTCGAGCCCAAGCTACACTATATTCCAAGGTATTCCTGAGGGAACCACACAAACTTTCTTACCACGGAACGCTGATGCGAGAAACCGGCGATCCTGGGAGAGGATTACATTCTTGACAGGGCCATAGCAACCCTCAAGATTCATTACATGAGTACCGGTTGTTGCGTCGTATATTTTAATAATCCGGTAGACAATACTTACATCCGGGGAGAATGAAACACTGATTGATGTATGGGGACGTAAGGGTGCCCGTTCAGTGATCGCTCCAAATATTGATATTATTGGCATCTTTCACGAAGTCAACAAATTCGGAGGCATGGTTGGAGAGGTGTCGTGATAGTGAGTCTAAAGTGTGATGCTATCTAGGGCCACTCACGAACATTCAATGAACCAACCAGAATCTTGAACGAACTGACTGCAGGCAAGAGTTGTTTGAGAAGGAAAGGGCCTCAAACCGATGAGAAATTGGTGGGAAAGAGAGGTATAAACAGTACGGACAGGCGGCTACCGACTGGCTTGTAAGTGATATATTCAATGTAGCACGGAGAGGTCTACAGGTCTTTGAGGTCTCACAATTAATCTCGGTAGGGGTCATCTTGAGCTCTCGAATTTTACAGATTTCCTGCCTCTACCCAAATGCCATACGCAGAACGCACCCAGCTGCCAACATAGCATGTAGCTCTGCATAACTTTTATGCCTAGTCTTTCCCTCCCCAAGCAGAAAGTCACCGAACGTCTTGTGAAGTAGTGGTATTACTTTATGATACTACGTAGTGATATTCCGTGCTGGATGTAACTTTGGAAGTCGCCAATTAAAGTCATCTATAATGAAATCAAGAAGGGAGGCGAGTGATGGAGGTGATGGCGGTATAGCGAGATGAGTTGGAGCATCTGAAAACTACAGTTGCTGATTGAATTCCCGACTCACTTGGCCCAATAGAAACGGTCAATGATAGGGTAGCATATCTGATGAAGCTGAAAATTGTTGCCTTCACATTGTTCACGCCAGCTGTAGTCTGCGAGTGCTAGTCGTCGAAAACAAAGCTGCAGCGCAGGACCTGTAGTCGACTCAACAAGCTGATCCAAGACCTCAAGAGCAGGTGAAGGGCCTTCTTGAACTTTGTGTCATAAGTTAATATTCGGAAATATCATGAAAATTCACCATCCTGTATCTCGCTACGATCACACTGGGTGGCTCCGGCGTTGATTCCAGTAGATTAATTGTCTAACGACAATGTCTCGACGCCGAATGTCTTGTGGTGGTGATGGGGCACTGCCTCAGATGCCAAACATTCAGCTGAAATGAATCGACCTGAAGGTCCGCAGCATATCTTTTGTAACTGTAGCTGCAGTCGTCATTCCGCCAATTCCAGCCATGGCTCATTTTGGACAGATTAAACACCCTTAAAGCTGGTGCTTGAGACTTGCACCTGTTGGACTGTCTGACATGTGTATATCCTTGTTGAGGGTGACTGGGATCTTGGGAGGATTGCATTAGGTGGTTGATGATCAAGGTGGGTGAGAGCTGACACCATAATGAAGACGAAGGCAGAATTCATCCTTGTCTAGGTATGGCATTAAGCTTAAATAACTAGAACTACAAGACATCGTATAACCGGTGTGCCTGGTACTTGGCGATAATCGTAACTGAGTAAATATTGATATATTGTCCATGATCAAGGCAGCGTTTACACATCCTGTAAAGATTAATGAGTAGCTGGAGCGGAAATATATATGAGCTGGAAGATTATTCCCGGACCCATTATGACCTCCAACAGTTCAACTGGACCCAGCATCTTCATCCTCGGCCGACTTAGCCGATACCGAAATCGGGGCAAGATAGGGCGCAATTTTTCTAGTTGCAGAGCCAAGACGATGCAAGTGGTGGCCAAGTCACATCAGCATCTTCTAAGCGCCCACTCCCTGACTTTTGAGGCCCTCGCCACTGAAGACTCTTCTCTTTTTGCTCGCGTGCCTCAGCAATTCTGCCAATTTTGCCCTTCCTGACTGATGATGAAAAGAGATCCCACTAATATCAAGAACTAAACGGGTACCTGAAAACGACTGATTCTCACTCAGTTTCGGCCGTCCAAAGAAGAGGCTGCCTTTCGTCATCAAGAAGGGTCTTGAAGAGTGGCCTACCGGGGTCTAGTAGTAAACTCCACCCCCACTGCGAGAGATTTCCTCTTGTTGGCTCATCGGTTGGTTGATGTGAGAGAAGAGAGCAAAAGAGGATCCATGATCGGTGGGTTCGGCTGCGGGGTGGTTGGTGATCAATGGTTGACGCTCAAAGAGTCGTCGATCCGGAGCTTTTCCCCTACCTACCTATTTGTAACAAAACATTTCTATTCGCTTCTCAACTGTGACTCTGCTCTTTCTTCTTACTGTGCCGTATCTCGTCATTGACTGATCGTGACAACTTCATGGACTAGAAGTAGGTTCCTGTTGCTATATTTTACACAATGAATACAACTCCTCCACCGTATGAGGAGGTTCCTCAGAGCAAATTGATGCCTGGGGATACCCAAGAAGCACATCAGCATTTGTTACCACCCTCGCCATCACCAAACTTCCTGCCTTCAAAGGTTGATAGTTCGAGTTTCGATGACTTCCGCAGAATGTCATCGAGTCCATCTCCATGTCCATCGCCAATACCTCTAAGACGATTCTCACAACAAGGAATCGATTTACCAGCCGAAACTCCACCATCGAAATGGAGACAGTTCTGGATAAAGAATAAGCCCGCTGCTTACGTTGCTCTATCCCAATTCTTTGGAGCATTGATGAATCTTAGTGCTCGTTTAGTCGAACTCGAAGGCGACGGCATGCATCCCGTTCAGGCCCTACTTATGAGACACTCCATCACAGCACTATTCTGTTCGGCTTATATGTGGTGGAATAAAACTCCCGACTTTCCCTTTGGAAAGAAAGAGATTCGATGGCTGTTGTGGTTGCGAGGAGCAAGTGGTTTCTGGGGTATTTTTGGCGTTTGGTATTCGATGATGTATATCTCCCTCGCTGATGCTACTGTTATCACATTCTTGGCCCCTGGTGTTGCTGGCTTTATCTGCTGGTTTGCTCTTCGTGAACCTTTCACTAGAATCGAGCAATTAGCCACGTTGGTTGCTCTTCTAGGTGTTGTACTAATTGCTCGACCTGCCTCGCTATTCTCAAGTTCTGACGACGACAACTCGACTACCGAACCGCCGGAATCTAGTGGTATACCTGGTATTGACCATGAAGCCACCCCTGAAGAACGCTTGATAGCCGTTGGCATAGCCCTTCTAGGTGTTTTAGGAGCAGCTGGTGCCTTCACGACCCTTCGAACCATCGGGAAACGAGCCCATCCTCTCATCTCAGTCAATTATTTTGGTATCATCTCGACCTTCATCGCTCTATCCATGCTCATCTTTGCCCCCATTCTTGATATTCAGCAACCAGGTTTACGATGGGTTACCCCAACCACAGCCAAGCAATGGGCGCTCCTGCTTCCCCTGGGTGTTCTGGGTTTCATCATGCAGTATCTTCTCACGGCAGGTCTCGGGGCTGACAAGTCAAACCGTGCTAATTCTATGGTTTACACACATATGCTTTTCGCCGCAAGCTTCGACAGATGGGTTTTTGGACACAGAATGGATTTCATCAGTGGTGCAGGATGTACTCTTATTCTCGGAAGCGCTATTGGTGTCGTCATGCTCAAGAAGCCATCAACTGCCAAACTGCCTTTGGATGATGTTGAGAGGCATGGAAATTTGGTGGGTGAAATGGAGGGCTCTCCCATGCTTGTGCCTGATTCAGGGGCGCACGAGGAACTGAGACTTTCGAGATAAAAGTTTAAAAGTTTGAATATTTGTATATACATCACTGACAGGGTCTGAATTACTAACGTTGGACCGTTGCGCCTCAACAAGAAGCGCCACACTCTATTTTGACTGCACGAATTGAGTCTGCTCAACTCTATTATAGGATTTTCCTGATAGCGAGGCAAGGATGAACCGGTTGTGACTGCGGGAGTGGCCCCTATGCTCGGTTTATGCCGAACCCATCTGAGTGGCGTTGTATTTACCATTTCTAGACTGGATAAACGTGACTTTCTATAACCTCATTATTTGTGTAAACCTTTATTTCCTTTCACTGAGGGAATGTGAAACTGGGCTCCTCCAGTAACTCCATCATTTGCTGACTACTATTGAACCATTCACCGAGTTGCGCCGTGTTACCCATCCACATCATCGTGTTTGCTCCTCTCTGACCATCGGCACCATCAAGCATACTCATATCCCCGAGAGGCTGTGAGAATGCACCAGCCTGACCAGGGTCCATGTGCGTCGGTTGTTGGCCCCCGTTGTTCAGACCTGCTGGTGGAAATCCGAGCGCGGCGAGATAGTTGTTGAGCTCAGCGCTGGCCTGTGTTTGGTCTGCCGGAGGAGTAGTTGTCCGGAACTCTATGTAACGGAGTGCTACTGTATAGAGGACCTGGAACAGGCGATATGTCTTCGCCGCTGCATCTGATAATTGGATGGTCGTCTCAAGAGATGTGCAAAAGCTATGCAAACGAGCAAGATCAGTCTGGTCCTGGGTCTCAATAACTTGACAGAACACAACGATGAAAGGAATGAAAGGAGCAAAGAGTAGTGTCCTAATCATGTCAGCATTGCCTTGACGATACCATGTACTCAAGTATATGTGCTCACCAGTGGACGTAAGAAGGAAAATAGACAGTATTATCCCGCCCCAAGAGATCCATGCAATCTTGATGACGATGTAGCGTTGCACGTGCAGCTTCAACACACTCTGGAATAAATGTCACTTTGGAGTTGGGAGGCGCAGGCGTAGCTCGGTAAATCAGAGTCAGAAGTGAAAGACGAAGAACGTCGTCAGAGATGAGAATAAAATCGAAGAAGTACTCCCCAAGATTCGTCTTGACTTCCTTTTCGCGGGTTTTCTATAGAGCG